GACCAAAAGGGCACTTTGGGGCAAGGAGCAAAAAGGGCAGGTGCTCAAGCACCCCCCCACTCTGCACGTGCCTGGGAACTTTTATGAAGCGGACGCCCAAAGGCAGAACGATGACCATCAACATGCACTCCCAGTGCTGGAGTGGAATGGTTTTGATCAGAGCATACTCATTTGTGCAAAGGGCCCCGTCAAGAATTTCTGGCAACGCCTAAACAACAACATGCCGTCTTGTGTTGATCCTGCACATGGAATTCAACCCACCCCCCCAAAAAAACACACACACACAAAAACCACTCAAGCTGTTAGCTGCAACACCAGACAATATGTGGCAAAGTTTAAGGCGTTTGTCAGCTGCAGGCATTAGGTAACAAGTTAAAACCGGTTCTGTTCATTCGAGCTGCGGATGTCTCCAGAGGGAAACAGAAACAGATCTGATCGGGTTGAACGAACCAGCCTCATTTACACTCGGTCTCTCTGAAGATTATCACTGCCTCGAAGGGTGAAAGAGGTGACATTTGTGTGTTTGCGCTCATACACAACACACCTGATCTTATGCTAATCATCTTGGCTCTTACTCCTTCAACCTCAAGAGAGCTCTTATGATTCTTCTCAAATGCTGGGGGAGAGCAGAGGGGGGTGGGGGGGATGATTTAATCTCTCTTGTGGCTGCCTTGAGGAACAGGAGGAGGAGGAGGAGGAAGATGATGAGGGTTCCCCTGCTGTGATGTTTAGTGGCTCAAAGATGAAGAGGGTTGAACCCTAAAAAGCCTACAGCGTGGCTCATCACTCGTTTTAATTTACACCCTCGGCTGGTTGTTGGGACTTCATCCCTCCACCTTCACCTCCGGCGACTTCATTCTTATTTCTGCAATCCTGTGCAAGCCACAGTTGCCTCCTCCTCTTCCTCCTCCTCCCAGTCTTATCCCTTGCTGCATGCAGCCATCCACCCCACACCCCCACTTCCCGTCATCACTGGTTTTGGGGAGAGAATGGGTTTGCTCTTCTCAGAAAGAAGATAGCTTTTCTGTCCTCTTCCCCCATCGTTTCTTCCTCACTCATGGTCAGAGAGCTGTTGGTCAGTGAGTCTCCCTCTGGAGCACTTTTCTCTCTCTTACTCCCTGGAGCCACTTGCTGATCCTTACCCCATCCCTCTACTTGAACGGGTCCCCCCATTTACCTACAATTGGATTCTTAAGGGTGTCAAACAGATGTATGATTCAAAAATATACAATAATTTAAAACACACGTTCAAGCCCAATTGGATTTTTCTCCAACATTTCGCACAGAGAGAGAGAGTGTCGTTCATCTCGGAGATAAAAAATGCATATTGAGAGAGTTGGGAGATCAAAGTCTAGGCGCTGATTATGCATCCCCAATAGGCTCGATTCTGGGGGTTCTGATTGCAGCCTAATTAGTACCAGTGCAGAGAGACAAATGCACTTTGCGTTATTTCATTTAAATACCTCCGGTACGACAGTATGCATCAAGTTCAGACATCCATACTCACCCCAACAACTACTGCGCAGAGCATGAGACAATCTGGCATTAAACACCCATCACCGAAGGAATGTGAAGACACCCACGGAGGGAGTATTAGAGGTAAGAAAATCAGAAAATCAGGTTCCACCCACGATGTGGAAGAGGGGAAGCATCCCGCGGGGTCCCTGTCCGCCTTAGGCAACTTCCTTGCGGAGCTCAGCAGTTTCACACCTCAAATAATATACATATATATATATTTCAGTCCTGGTGAAGAGAGAGAGAGAGAAGAAAAAAAAATTTCTCCAAAAATCAAAAGATTGATTGCAAGACAATAATAATAATAGAAAGAAAAAAAAGATCCGCAAAGGGCATGGAGCTGCAGTCGTGACGCAAACTGTAACAATTAACTCCGCACTTGTTTAAGGAGACAGTGGAGATAGAGGCTGTCTGTAGAAGCCGATGACCAAGAATGAATCTGAGATACAGAGAGAGAGGAAGAGAGAGAGAGAGAGAGAGGATGGAGAGAGAGGTGGAGGAGGGGGAGACAGAGCAGAGGAATTTATGACACGCGGCGCGGATCAATATTGTTGGTAAAACCCACCTGATTAGGGTGATCCGTAAGCTCCGACGCACACTTTGCGCGTGGTCACTTCTCCGTTAAAGTCTACGTTGTGTCGGCTCGTGCGCGCGCGCACACACACACAACCCGCTCAGACTCCCGATTGCTGGTGCACGACGCACCAAATCAACGCCTAATTGTGCCACTGTCCTCATGCAGACTCCCTCCTCCGCATTCAATTAAGTTTATTACCGATCAATTGGATGCATTTCTGTCCCTTTTGCTTATTTGAACACATTAATAAGTCATTGAAAAAAAAAAGAAGAAGAAAAAAGCACGGTTAATTGAACGAACTTCCCCAATTTATTTTCCACTGAGCCCATTGATTATCCCCGCCTTGAAAAACCAGCGCGCCGTGGCTCTTTGTGGTGAATGGAATTAAACAAATGAACCGCGTCCCATCTGCTGTGTAATAACAATTTGATAAGCTATGTGTGTGGAGGCAATAGGAACAAGACTGGGGTGTTCCCTCTGCCTGACAGCGTTGGGGGGGGGGAATGTGAACAACACGTTCAATTTGTCGATCTTACCGCGTTAGAAAAAGACATGGAGGAGCGAGTCAATGGCACCATCTTGTGGCAAGAGGGGGTAATTACAACGTTAGTTAAAACCAGATGGTGATTTTCTTGCCCAAAAATGACCAGAGTGCAATGATCCAGAAAGTACTGGGGCATCTGCACGAACAAAATAATAATCAAAAAGTGTATTTATTTTGATTATTCAGATTTAAAAAGTGATCAATCAATATTACTTCTGAATTTCAATTCAAGGGGAAGTTGGGTCACAGCAGCTGGAAGCTACATTTAAACTCCACTTTGAGCAGCACATCAAGTAGGCTGAGAGCCTGCAAGGTGATGTTGGGTTTAATTTGACCATGACAACAAAAAATTACATGCATTAAACAACTACATTTGAGTTTATCAGATTTGGCAGAATCCAATTAATTTGGATTATATTCTCAACATTCAAGGCAGATTTTTTTTTAAAATTAAACATTGGCTAAAACTATAGATTTGAAGATGGGAACGTCTGAGCTGTTATAGGAAAAAAAAAATCTTAACTATGGCTGCATAACTTTTTTTTAATACAGATGAGTCTTGTGAATTTGTAAATGGTAGTTTCAGTTCAACTAAAGAAATAAATCCTTTTTTGCACTTTGTTGGTCTTATGTAATGCTTTCTGAGGAATATCATTATCCATGTCATTCACTAAATTGTATTCATATTTCACATTGAATTATTAACTTTAATTAATGTTCTAATATTCTAATTTATTGAAGTGCATTTTCCAGTTTTAAAATTTTTGTGGCCCTCCAGACCGGTAGGGGGCCCTACTGAGTTGACGAAATTCAACAATTCATGATTTAAAAAAAAAAAAAAAAAAAAAACTCAAACAAAAACACAAATCCATATAGAAATCCACTCAGGGGCTTTTGAGTAGTATGTTTTTATTTATTAAATAGTGGCTTTTAACATTCTGGTCACATCTGAAAAGGCTTTTCTACTTCTGGTGGTCTAGAGGAAAAAGCTTAACATATCACAACATATGATGAACAAAACTTCAGGACAAAAAACAAAACAAAACAAAACACGTACATGAACTAAACCCCTCTGAATCATATCTTTGTGCTCTCATGTTTTAACGAGCAGTAAAAAAAAAAATGAAATAAAAAGAAAAGTAACAAGTGAGCAACTTAAACCTGCTGTAGAATGACATGCTCACGGCTCAAACATGTCAGAAACATCTGGGCAAAAAAACAAACAAAAAAAAAAACTAGTAAATAAGTACGTTATCTATTATAGCTATTATTTATACCATCCGACATGGATGAGTTAATACACAGTATGTCTGCCGCAGAAGCCTTTGTCGTTACAAAAATAAAGGTTGGTCTTTCTTTGTTTCTGCTTTTTGTTCTTTTTCATGGCTTACAGTTTGAACGTTAAGACGTATCTACATTTGGTCTTCCTCACTTCCCTCCTCTCCTCTTGGTCTTCTTCATTCATTCCCTCCAAACTCTTCCCAGTGTCTCAAAGACTACCTTTAGGAGTCGCTGTCTAACAATCGCAACGGTTGGACTCACAGAAACACATTTTTAGAAGCAAACAATGCACAAACTAGTAAAAAATAAACATATTACGTTGGTAAAGATTAAAAACTAAGATCAGACAGATTGATGTAAAAATGCTCCAGTGTAGAGATTTGTGGAGGCCTTTCAGTCAGGGATGGTTTTGCTTTCTGTGGCTCACCCAGACCAGCTTTTAGGCACTGAGGATGTAAGGTAACATAACAGCGTGTCATAATAGGGCTGTGGAAGGACATAAAGTCGATATAAAGGCAGTCAGAAAGTAAATTCTTCCAGTTAATGTCTTAAAAAACTACAACAGTAAGACGTTGCAAATTGAATTTTTTTTTATTTTTTACCCTCAGTCTCACTGTAGCGATGTCTTTTATACATTATTTAAAGTTTCACACCATCTGAAGAGATAGACTCAACCTTCAGAGTCGCACTAAAGCTCGATCAGACAATAAGGGTTTAGCATATTGTCTAAAATAAGAAAGACTGGGGTTTTGTTTTATAATGGGGACAATTTGATATTTTTTTCCATTTCTGAATTAAAACAAGTTCATATTCAAGGTAAGTTCATCTTTGCTAGTTTGAGAGAACAACAGTAGATAACTCATTTGGAAAATAAATGAGGTTTGGAAATGTACATCTTTCACACTTCCCAAAAAAAAAAAAAAAAAAAAAAAAAAACGGACTGTAAACGAGGAACTGATTCGAGATGCCAGTGGAATACCCTTTAACGAGGCATAGTTCATCCGAGGAAGATTAAGTTATAATATTCTTCATTTTTTTTTTTTTTAAAGAATTAAAAAAAAAATATCTTTCATCTGCAACCAGGCCGAGCCCAGAAATCCAGTTTCTTCTGGCTTCCTCGTTCTCACTCATTCACGCAGACTACCTTCAGCAACTTGCTAAATGCAGGATAATAGAAGCAAAGCAGTAGATATCTGTAGTCTGTATATAACTCCGTATTTACATGAGTAAATACAGATATGTATATGTACAGCAGATTGGAGTCTCTGTGTAGGTAGCAGCAGGCTGTCTGGCTTCGTTATGAAACTACATATTGTCAGTTTACAACTGTTTTTTTTTTTTTTTTTGGTTCATATGCAACTATTCTCTCCTGTAAGGCTCTGCTTTTGTTTCTTCCTTCACGTTTCCCGGTCTTCCTAGTACTTCCTCCAGTAGTCTCAGTTTTCCAGTTAAATGTTTTGATTTGCCGTGTAGCCGTTTGTGGCTCTCTGTTCTTCGTTTGTGGCGATCTGCAAGTCGAAATGAGAGAATGAGAGAAGAAGAAGGGGAAAAAAAAGAAAACGGTGAAATCAGCAGAAGTTAAAGTTGAACCAAAGTTACAGCTTTAAACCTTTTTATGCTTCTTCGCAATATAACCAAAACCTTCAAAGTAATTTTGTAAATTGTGACTCTTAAATGTTCAAATGAAAATCGGAGGTTTTCTCATTGGATTCAGCTCTGGGCTTTGACTAGGTCAGTCTAAGACATGAATACTCATAGATCTAAACAAGAAATTCCCTAATTTGACATAATCAGCCTCCACAGCCGATGTATTGGAAAACATGTTGCTCTTATTTATTTTAAAGATATGTTTGTTTGTTTTTTTTAATCTTTTATCAGTATTCAGCTGAATCCAAATGAGTCCTTCACTTTTATGCACTTCTTTGTGTGGCTCTACTTAATAAAATCCCAATAAAAAAAAATAGGAAGATTGTAGTTTTAATGTCATAAAAATAGTAACCTCTAATAAAGACATAGATTTAAAAGCCTGAACAGAAACATGTTGGCATTTTTAGTGAGCAGAGAGAGGCAGTGCAACACACAAACAAGTAAATAAAGAACTGAGGAAACAGCTGGTCAGTGTGCTGATTAATGGCTTCTTCACTCCACCAAAGGGAGTCGTCTTCTGCACAGACAGAATCAAAGCTTACTTTTGCCACACGCAAAACTTGCGGTAAGCAACATCTTAAAAGGGCAGACTTTCGCGAATTTGCTGAGGGGAGCGACATTTCAGCCTTACTTAGTGGTTTTTGACTGGGGGAGGACGGGGGTGGGGGGAGGGGGGGGGGGGAAAGAAAAGGAGGAGACCAATGGAGGACGGGACGGGAGCGCTGTACTCTTACACTGTGCGTCTCACCAGACCAGAGATTTGGAGCGTGTGCTGACTCCTTTCCTCCTGCTCGCTGCTCCCACCGTAGCGTTTCGATGGCTTCGCTTGTGAGACTCCAGGTACAACTGGATTCAAAATGATAAAAAAAAAAAAAAAAAAAAAAAAAAAAAAGAATTAACGAGGAAGCAGAAAATAAATCAAAGTTTATATTTGAGGTGCGTTCGCGCAGAATGCATTTGGTGTGAACGCACCGTTACAGAGATGTAACAAATAAGATTGGTTTATACCCCGTCATTGGCAGATTGTTGGAACCAATGAATGTCAAGTTTACATAATTTACGGGATTTTACAGTCACGTACAACAGTTTTAAGACTGGCGGCAACCTGGTTTTTCCACAAAGTTTCCTGCTTCAGTGTTTTAACTTTTTATTTATTTATTTATTTTAAATCAGACCAGTCTATCCTGGCACCCAGGGTGAACCCTTTCTTCTGCTGGTCCCACAGCCAATTAAATTGATATGAAATGGGATACGATGCAGTTCTGCCCTGCAAAACAAATAAGCTGGTCTCCCTATTCTCAGCAGCAGGCAGGGACACACAGGGATGCCAAAGCCCCATTGAATGCACATTCATAAAAGCAATAAATAAATAAAAAAAGCTGACCAGGTCACAATCTGATGGATAAGTTGCATCATTTATTTATTTTTTTTAAGAGGAGCTTTTCGGTCCACATTTTTGAGAGCTGAGGACATGTTGGGGTTAAATGGGGTTAAAAACCACAGAGGCAAACCTTTAGCTCTTTGATCCCTAAAACCAGTTTGTCACTGCTGTCTTATGGCATGATGCTCCATCATGCTGAAAAAAACAAAAAAAAAACAAAAACAAAACAACAACAACAACAACAAAACATTGCTCATCACAGTGCTGTTTCTGGTTTGTTGGGCAAATTAGCCCCGGTAGGATTTCCGGCTCCATTCTTTATTTAGGGGAGTGTTTTATGCAAATTGAGGCAAAGCAACTCTCCCTTGGACCAGAAGTCATTCCAGCACATCAGAGACCTCTGCATGCGAAGCGTCCCCCTTTTCCTCTTCGACGCAATTCATTTTTGGAAAACTCCTTGGAGATAATATCTTCACTAAAGGCAAGTGCTGGTACTTCCAGCATGACAGTAGTCGGTTTTCATTGGAGCTGAGGCTTTTTGCTGCCCTTGTTGACACCAGATGTAGCGATTGTGCGTAGAAACACTTGCCTGTACCTGCTGCCATTCCTGAGTAAGATTTGCAGAAGAGACTTGAACTTCTTGGGCACTCTAAAAGTTTCTTTCTAGTATTTGAATCTCTTCTTTAAAGTATTTAATGAGTTAATAAATCAGTTTCTCCAGGATGCCGCAATGTTGCGATCGCAGCTATTGATGCAAATTCACTCACAAATTGCAAATTTTGCACAAATTATCATATAAGACCATGTTACGGCAACAAAAATGTGCAATTCTGATGGCAACTTTTTAAAAAGAAGTGTCAGAAAATTAGTAGTTTTATGCTGCAACAGTCACAAAAAAACATTAACATCCTGGAGGCACTGATAAATGTTTTATTTAGGTGCAATCGCACAGGACATAAAAAATGTGTCACTTGTGCAAACCTTTTTAATGCAAAAAGAAGTTAAACTATTGTGCTCTAATATTTTTATTAGAATTAGGATTAAGCCAGACTCGGCAGAAAAAAAATCAAAATAAAACTGTAGTTAAGTTTGTGAAAAACAAGATTTCCATCAGTTTGCCACAGCTGCTATATGACTAAATCTTAGCTCTTTACATCTTAATGTTTTTTTTCTGTCTGACCTCATTGAAAAAAAAAAAAAAAAAATTAATTTGGCTAATTAAAATCCCTACCTTCTTAGCAAACGCCCGCCCACACTGGTCACAAGCATGGAGAGAGAAATTCTTCGTCACTTTGACTTCAGTGGACGACGTCACGGGGCTGCTCTCTGATTGGGCGTCGTGTCGCCGGGTGTGTGGCGTTTGGTTACTGGACGGGGTCGAGGAGGAGGCGCTGCGAGAGAGCGAGTGTTTCTCGCTGCGCCGGGTCAGAGGAGGGCTGACGGGGCGGGACTGGTGAGCCGTCTGCTGTCTCTCCTGCTTGCGGGTGACGGGCGGGGAGGGAGTCGGGACCGGAGATGAAAGCTCCTGCTGCTTCCTGGTGATGGGGGCGGCAGGCGGGGCGGAGGCCGAAGTGGCGGCCGAGGCAGACGTGGAGGCTTCTTGTTTGCGGGTGATTGGAGGCGACGGAGAAGAGGAGGAGGAAGAGGAGGAGGACGACGAAATGTGACGCCCGTTCATCTCCTCTTTGGCGCTGCCGCCTGTCCTCTTGGTGCTGTTCAGCACCGCCTCCGCCAGCCTCTTCACCGCCCTGCTCTCCAGTTTGGGCATGATCTTCGCCAGGTACTGCGACGACTTCTTGTGGACAACCGTCACGTGGCGCAGGACGTCGCGTTTGCGGCGCGACTCGTAGCGACACAGAGGGCAGCGGTAGAACTTGATGAAGATGTCGTTGCCGTCCGTGTGCAGTTCAATGTGCTTTGTTAGGTTCTGACGAGAGCTGAACTGTCGTTTGCACAGCTTGCAGAAGAGCTGCTTGAAGTCAAAGCCGACTGACAACTTGCTTAGTTTGGCTGCCATGTTCGTGTATGCGCTCCCTCCACGGGAGGACGAAGATGTGGATGAAGGTACCTTTGGACTGGATGGGGATTCCTCCTCTTTCACCTTCAGAACGGCTTGTGGAACGCCTCTAGCTGTCCCGTTGCTGTTAGAGGGAGACGGAGCAGGGCTACTGTCGTCGTCATCTTCGTCCGACGGCTCCATTGCTTCCTCCTTCACTCTTACGTTGTTGCTAAGGCTAACATTAGCGCTGCTCGCGCTAGCAGCAGGTGACGGCGTGCCACCAGACTTGTTACTTCGGACGCTGTAGATCTTGTGCACGATGCGCATGTGTCTCTTTAACATCAGCTAAAAAGAACAAATAAAGGGCTTTTTTAGAACACACCACCAGAAAATCTCACCCGACACATGTCGCATTACAACCACAAACCTGGGTACTTGTGTTTCCCTTTTCATGTGATCAAATCGAATCCTTTTAAAAATGATGCTTTATCGTGCAATCGGAGTGAGCTTGGGGTCTTTCAAAAAGTAGAATCTGCAAAATTGAGTCCATCCCTGCTGTTTCTATTAAGCAGCGTTTGTATCTCACAGACAGATCTACTGGCCAATAATATGCCCCATGTTTTTAGTTTGTTATATATTTTGAAAACCATTGACCATTTTCATTCCACCTTTCAACATCCTACTTTGCATTGGGATTCCACACAATATTCAAATAACATGCATGATTTGTGGCTGTAATGTCACAAAAAAAAGGTAGAAGGATATCATCAGAAACCACTGGAAAGGCTTTCAGAACCAAAGTACATTTGATAATCGGTGAAAACCCAGCGACAGAGTCGATCCACCAACCTGGGAGCTGTAGTTCCTCTTGCACAGGGTGCATCGACATGAGGCCGAGTTCGTCTGCTTACTCTGAGGTTTCCCTTGGGCTTGGTTTGAGGCGGAGGTTTTAGAGTTCACAGGAGTGGTCTTGGAGCTGTGGGCACGTGTCGGGGAGGAATTGTTGCTCTTCTTGGGTGGTGTGACTTCCAGTGTGAAGGGCTGGCCCGGCCTTGACGCGATGTTCGGTGTGATGGTGTCCCTGCGTAGACCCCGGTGCACCTCGTCAAAGTGCCGCCGCACGTTGGCTTTGGTGGCGAAGGTTTTCAGGCACACTGGGCAGGACTTTCCAGTTGGCATACTGAGAGTCCTTGGTCGGCCTTCAACAACACCGAGATACATCTATAATATCTATTCAGACTCATCATTGATTGTTTTCAAGCAAAAAGCACACAGATTATCTAGAAGCTGCATCTTTTTAGCTAAAGACCTGAAACTGGACAAGAAAATATATATATATTTTTTTCTAATATCATGAGCTAGTTCTTTTAACTGATATGTTACAGAATTCATTGCTATTCACTTGTATAATTTCCTACCTTTCACCATAGAGAGCAGGCTTGTAGGAACTGTGCGCGTCTCCGTGAATTTACGGAGCTCCTCCAGTTTAGTCTGGTGCATTTTGCGGCAGTGGCGCCTGATACTCCGACGGGAGTTAAAGTCTTGGCCACAGAGACAACAGGAAATGGTCACATCTTCAACCTGGACGGTCAGGAAAAACATACTTTGTACCAAAAGCAAGACAGATCTTCTAACAATAAAAAAAAAAAAAAAAACATGTTCAAAAAGAATCGTTTAACAACAGATTTACAACCTACCCCACTGTTGGAGCCCTCGTCTTCAGGCTTTGGCTGTTCCTCTTTCGCCTCATCGTCGGCCTCCCATGTCTTCGGCCCTGGACTGACGTGGCTCTCAGGAGCATTTGGCTGACTGTCTGGATTGTTTTCCACACCCTCCATAGTCTCTCCTTCCCAAGCGACAGGACTCTCTCTGGCACTGTGATGAGCAACAAAAACAAACGAGTGACTTCAGTCAATAAAATACATTCCGTTTGTGAATTTAAATGCAACGCGTTTGTCCCTTGTTTTAATAAAAACGCACCTGGTTGTGTGTGATGGAAATCTCGCCAGCTCCTCCTCTGTGGTGAGGTACTGGAACACCGCCTTGTTGGTGGTCTGGATGGGCTCTAATCGGACCACGTAGTCGGGCCGGTCAGCTCTGGGATATATTGCGTCCAGTAAATCCTTCATGGCTACACTCTGTCGGTCATCACCAGAAGAGCCTGTCAGAGAAAAATCATCGTCCATTACTTCAAACGGAGTTCAGGGATGGGTTTGTTACAACATAATGCTATAATTAACCACACACACAAACCTAATGTATTAAATAGGCATTTGTTTTTCAGCTGTGGTTATTTAATGTCCGATCGTCAAAGCTGGGGTCAGAACAGCCATGCTCTCCACGAACTTTACGTGTGCTTAAGAAATCCATAACCACGCAGGCAACACGGTAAACAAGCGACAAAACGTCGTCAGGTTAGATGAAACAAATGCTGAACTTTTCAGCTTCCATACAAAACGCTGTGTGGCAGCAAACCAACACTGAACATTTCAGTGAATGTATGTCATGACCATTGTGACGTACGGCGGTGAAAGAACCAAGTTTTTACAGCCATGCTGCCCACTTCCTTACGGCTTCCCGTAGCAGCAAAGCTCCACAAAGTTAACAGGAAGAAGGATGATGATTTGACCAGTTTGTTTTTTTTTTTTTCATCCCCACAGCAAGACACAGACACAGGATAATTAAAAAGAAACCCTTCAGTCAAATCTACTATGGAATGGTTAAGATAAATGCATAATCCTGTTTCTCCCACGGGTTTAAATGTATAGAATTCTGTCTGACAATATTTTAAAAATTCAAGGGGTATAACGCCTAACAGACAAAAAATAATGAAACTGAAGCAGCAGCCATTCATTTCAAATCTCTGAGCTCATACGCCAGAATCAGATGAAAGCTTTAAAATCAAAACAGACAATGTAATAAGTCCTGCCTTCAACTTTCTGCTTAATAACTAAACGATGGTAAAAGGGGGGGGGGAAACCCAAAACATTAAATATTGCTACTGTTAATGTGACTGTCAGAAGCAACAAAAAAACACGTCTTGTTGTTGCTCAGTCTGTTTGGTAAATACTTTTAATCATAGAGAGATTCCCTTCTCTACAGCACATATAATCATTTTGCCATTAAGCATCATTAGCGTGAAAAACTCAACTGGAAACGAAGAGGCAGAAGACTCATCTGTTCAGACCGTCGGGGTGCAATGCGACAGGTGAGACAAATCGAGCAAAACTTTGCCGCAACCACAAACGATCAATGCTCAGAATATCAAAGATGGAAACGGCAGCAATTAGGTCACTTAATAATACAATACACATCCAACCCAAAGCTATAAGCGCTTTATTGAGGGGGGGGAAAAAAAAACCCGAGCTACTTATGCAGGGGAAACATCATTACAACCCCAGGCAGATGATGATAGCATTAGGATGGAGAAGGTTCATACAGCAGTAATTGGTAAGGTGGAGAAAACTGAGCAAAATATATTGACTTCCTTTTGTTGGGATTGCTTTCCCTTCGAGGAGGGGAAGAGTTACAGAAATGATATCAAGAGTTTTACAGACTTCTTCATCCCCCGGAGTTAAGAGTGGAAACATACTGCAGCTAATTAAGAGTTTGAAAAAAAAAAAAAGCTCAAACACTGACAAATTATAGTCTCTCTGATGGAGGGGAAAGCTGGCCTTTGTGTAATAAACGTTCAAAGGAGAGAAGATGCTACTGTGTGCCTATGCTTCTATATGAAAGTGCAAGGAAGGGAATCGTAATTAGGAGACAGATGGCATGAAAGCGAGTGAGGGATCCTTGGAGTGACAGAATACTGAAGTAAAACGCGAAGACGTCCAAGGAGACTGTGAAGACAGAGAGTGTTTGTGCAAACTTCAGAGTTCACAACGACTTCGATGAAATCGAGACAAATCTAGCTGATCTGTGGGACGCTTTCAGATGTTTACGTCGTCTTTAGCAAGCAGAAATTAATTGATGTAGCCTTCGCTTGTTCTCTCTGTTGATTTTCACAACGAGAGGACATTTAGGCTGTTGACAGTCCCTTAAAATTACATACGCCGTCAACTCGACCACATTTGGTCGATAATTAACACAATTGATTAAAACCATTGAACTGGAGCTCCAACTCCAACTTTTAATATGAAAGATCAGGGGTCAAGTTGTGGGGAATTTTTAAGCAGAGTCTCTTGGTCTTCATGATTCTGTTTGCTAATGGGTTTTTGGTATTGCATGTGTCGCGTTACCCACCGTCAGATTCAGGTAGCCGTGATAAGCAGTAGTACTCTTTGTGCGTGATGAGGTTCGGGAGGCCTCTGAACAGACTGCGACACAGTTTACACTCAAAGATGGTGTCTACCTCCCTCAGCAGCATGCTTCTGAGCTGGTTGGTGCCTGCAAGTAAAGAGAGAGAGAAAAAAAAAGGGAAAAACGGTGAGCAGATGGATCTTTCTGTACCTCATTATCCATTTTAATGCGATCTTCCAGGAGAAAATGGCAAACCCGCCTGGAACTTTGCTCAAAAAGGTCTGCAATAACGTTTTTGGCATTTTTCATATTTTGAAAGGAGATTGGTAGTGATCAAGTCTTTTTTTTTTTTTTTTTTTTTTTTCCAAAATGCTGATTTGAATTGCGGTGCAACAAAATAGCAGTTGTGATGCTTTGTGATTCTTTGGATCATCATTTCATTTTTCCCCTTCTTTTACTTGATGAAAAAAAAAAAAAAGATTTTAAAACTTCTGTTGACTGGTTTGCTTTGCTACACCTAATTGGTGAAGTAATAAATGTCAGGGGTATTTTTGTCCCATCTGTGGAATTTGTTTCATAGGGAAAAAAAAAAAAGAAAAGAAATGAAATTATCCTGATTCTAATCAATCTTTCTTCTCTTTTCCCTGGTTTCTTTTGTTTTAAAGTGTTTAATTTGCATAAAAAGAACCCCTTTCCACTCTTTATGTCACTGGCGTCAGCTTTCTGATTAAAGTGGCTTGTAATCAATTCAGACTGAACCCGAGTTCTCATAGCAGTTTTAAAGAGCACATTTTACAGTACAAGGAGTGCAAATTCTGCATCCTGCAGAATGTTTCCATCAGGTTGTGCAAATTATACGTTTAAACACAGACGCAGGCAAATCCAGGAATTATAGTCGAATCAAAAACAGCAACACTAAGGACAAGCAGTGTTTAAGGTTAAAGAAATATTGGTTGTTTAATCCTTGGAAAAAAGTTCAAATAAAAAGTCTGTTAAAATCAGGTATGCTGTTCAAAGAATTACAAAAGTCAGATGTATTAAATTGGGCTAAAACTTTAAAACAGTGTAGATCTAAAAGAAAATATAGTTAATAATACATTTTTTTAGATACACTTCTAATTTTTTTTTAATTAAGATTTAATCAAATGAACAAAAAAAAATGCTTTTAAAAAATGAATACAAAATAATCCAGAAAGAACATCAACTGTGTTTTCCTTTTGTTTAAATCCAGCTCTTAGTAATGAGGGTTTTAATCACAACGATTAAAACTTGGGTTTGAACAACCCCAAGAAAAAAAAAAAAGGACAAACACCCATTAAAAATAATGATAAGAAGCTAGAGCTAGAGAGGTAGAAAGGAGGAGGAGGAAACAACAAGAAAACAGAGACGCATACCGGATCGGAAGCATTCAATTATCTGCTGAATCCCAGACTTGGAGGTCTGCAGAGGCTGCTGGAGCAGAGGGGGATCGCCAGGCTCAGCACACAAACCTAGACGGAGAGAAAGACACAGCATTATATCAAAGTCAGCTCCTAATTGTATAAGAGTGTGGCCATGTTGGAGAACTACAGCATCGCAAGAGAAGAGGTCTGCTGTGAACGAGGTAAATTACCGTGTGCTGAAAAGAGCCCACACAATGAGATCTGTACAGGACAGTGATTCATTCTGACCTTATTACCGCCTATCACACCAACACCACATAAGCTCTTAAAGGCAAAGATAAAGGAGGACATCTTTCTTCAAAGTAAAATCTGGAGCCCCTACGGAAGAACAAATGCATCGCACGAGGAAAATGAAAATCTTCACTCAGTTGGGCCAATGAAGAGCACGTCATCGGTCCTTTTGGTTCAACACAGACCACAGCGTCTTATTGTCACTTAATCTGACGAAATCAGAGAAGCATCCCAATGGACGTGTCCTCGTTCACTGGTGACCTGAATCGCAACAGAGTTAAGGGTCAAGTAGGAAGCAGAAATCCTGAAGAAGAATCTTTTTTTATTATTATTATTTACCGACATGCTTTGTTACGAATCTTGAAATCTGAGAGGAAACCGAAAGGTAATCGTTGTGATGCTATTTTTACATAAAAGTCCAATTTTTACTGTTGAGGTTTTGAAATATTTAATACAAAATAAAAGGAGAAAAAAAAAAAAACTACAGCATCATACAACAACCTGCGAAAGTTGCACTGAGAAACCAACTGGTTACTCGTATCAGAGGATGTTCAGGTTGATGGGCCTGAACGCTAATGTCTGATCGTTCTCTGCCGTTTCCAAGCACTCGCGTCTCACAGTTGCAACAACACTCTTGTCAAAGTTGTTGCTGAATCAAGACGGTGCTAGCACTTTATCTATGCCGAGTGATAATGAGAGTGAGAGAGACTTAAAGCAGACAACAGGAAGGCTGACAAGCTCAGGAATAGTTCTCAGTTTGTCCCTCTGAGGGTTCAATCTCTGTCTGTGAGACTCCGGTTTGTGATTAAAACATCTTAAAAAGCCTTCGTTTCAAAATGACATTAAAATGCTGTTTTACAGTAACTGTTCTCGCATACATGCATCATGATGTCGCCAATGCACCCAACAGAAATAACTGAAAGTAAGATTTTTAAGTTGTTTTTACATCTGCTCGTATTGTATTTAATATCAGCAGATCAAATCAGACGGATTTCACCAGGAGATGCTCCTCATTAGCAGGTAAATGGTAACGTGGTTGACATTTAAAAGCGTGTCACACCGGCTTTTATGTGCAAACGACTGCAGATGATCGTATGCAACAGGAAAGAGGTGTGTTGTGGCCAATGTGTCTGTAGAACGTTACAGTGACGCAAGTTAAAACTGTGTCAGCCAAGGTCAGTCGGCGCCTCCCTCATGGCTATTAACCTGATCAGAGTTAGACGCATGAGACCAGAGTGGGAAAGCAGCATGGACTCGATCCATTTCACAGTCGTGTCAGCTGATTTGAGGAGGTAAAAGTGAGAAAGGGGGGAGGAAAAGCTGCGGACGCATCGACAAGGCCCCTAAGGCATCGACTGGAAAGGCTGGAAACATGAATGAGAATGGAGGAGAAAAGCCAGAAAGAAAGTGATGAGGATTAGCTTAACTAAATGGGTGACAGAGAGCATTGTCTTCCCCACCATCCCCACCCCCTCACCTCTACTTCTAAACTGCTTTAATCCCAGCAGCACAGGTCACTGAACCCACATGACCCCGCCGGAGGGGGTCAAAGATCAGTCCTGTTTACAGTGAGTGCTCAAAGCATTACACCAAAGCACGACTAGCGTCAGTTCAAACTCTAAACATGACTGGAGCTTGATTCAACAGGGTGCAAACCCTGGCAGGAAGAATTCCACTGCTAACAAAACTTTCTTAAGTGTTTGGATAACACGGGCCAACTTCTCATGCACGTCACGGCACTCGGAGCCAAAAACAGCTCCTCTTCGGAGCAGTCAATTTCTCAGTGAGAACAAATCATTCAGCTTTATTTTGAGCGGCTACATTCGGTGCCCCGGCAGCGAGGCTGCACAGGGGGTTGACGGACAGCCTCAGCCTGGAGGTGAGTGAATCAAAGCGGCGAGACGTGCAGAATCAAAAGAAGCACCTGCGTTATGGCCGTCGTTATTGGCCGCGGGAGGCTGACCCTGCTCCTCGGTCTGGCAGCTCTGGTCCCTGGTCTCTGTGCTCCTGTGGAGTTCAGGCACCAGAGGGGGAATGGGCTTCCACAGAGACTTGGCCTGCGGCTGGGCGGAGGTGTCGCTCTTTTCCTGGGCCTCCACCGGAGCTTCCTTGTGCTCGCAGTTTTCCGACAAGCTTCCGGCGGGAGGAGAGTTCTGAATGAGGATCTGATCTCCTCCCTTGGACTGGTCTTGCGGTGGATGCTGAGTGTCCACGTTAAGTTCCTCCATGTCTGTCTGACCACCACCCTGAGAAAAACCAGACCAGAAATGAAGAAAAAAAAAATTATACACAAAGAAAGAAATCAACTGAAATCGTCACAATCAAAGTTATCATTCAAAGGATGTGAGGGATTGCTTGTGATCTAATATAACAGGGACTTGCAGATGTAAATAAGGCCGTTTTGGTACACAAAATAGCTAAAACAAAGTCAGATTAAATAGAGATCAGTGGTGGAAAACAGTTTTTCAGCTTTCAAAAGTATCTCACCAGTATTGTCTGCCGCAAACATGTTGGGAGAATTTAGACAAAAACAGGGGGTGAGAATACTTTCAGCAAGGCACAGTACGAGTACTTTTGATTTGATCAAAGGCTTATAAAGGCATTCAAACATTTTCCATTTCAAAACTGAATATTCTGATGCTTGTACAGCCAGGTCTGAAGTTGGCTTCTGACTTGGCTGTGCGATAAAAGGCTGATCGACTGCTCTTTTGGTGTCCAGGTTCATTTAGATCAGTTCTACTACAAATTCTAAAAAGCTTACACTTTTCACGTTTTATCCCATTAGAAAACAGAATAAGCAAGAGCGAATGTGTCATTATTAAATATACAAGTTGTCTTTCAGAGCTTGGAAAATGCTAAAAGACAGTTTTGTAATTTTTTTCAAACTCCTAGGATCTTAACCAGGTACATTGTTGGTGACAAATATGGGCTCAGAACACCTGGATGTAGACGGTACCCGTGTGTCTGGCCATCAAGTCAGCTGAACAGCTGGACTATTCGTGAAGGACCATTATCTTCAGAATACACAGGTACCCTTGAGCAGATAAGTGACTCCACTCCAGCTTTTTAGATTTAACGTGTGTGCTGTTGTTAGGCCTGTCGCGATAAACGATAAATCAATTAAATCGCATGATAAATTAAACCTATCAACCTCATTTTAATTATCGGCTTTATCGTCTCTTCCTTCCTTTTTTCTTTCTCTTGATGACACTGAATGAAAAAAGGCTCAACTCCGGTGCTTTCCACTGACCCTCCCTTCCTCATTTCCTTAGTGTAATGTCCAGCGCACACAACACGAGTTGTCAGCCGACTGTCGGCCCATTTTCAAAACCTGAGAGACCCATTAGCCGACAGAAATCCTAGGTATAACAGTTCGATCGGGTTCGATCGTGCTATGTGGTCTCAAGCCACACAGCCATTATTTTGGACTTGTAGCCCAAAATAATGGCTACAAGTCCAGTTTACTAATTTTAAAATCAGGCATTAATCAATGCTTTACTAGAATCTGCCTGCAATGCATGGAGTCAGCGTAAAGTCCTGACTGAATGAAAATCATTATAACTATTTATGTCACGTTAACGAAGAACAGCTGAAAAGTTACCGGGTTTATCAACTGCGGTAGCAATTTGGCTCCAACTCTTCTCCTGGTCATTTCTATATTCTTTGCACGAAATGTTAAATAAATATTAATATTTCCACATATCATGTCAGCTGGATTTTGGGTTGCATTGTATCAGCTGTTTGTGATTCCCCTCTGTAATTTCCCCTCAGAAAGCAGGAGGAGAATCCGCACGTTCTGATTGGCCACCTGTCACATTCAACGGGCTGCATTGACACTTCTAGGCGGGGGAAATCCCT